CTTTCTTTCTTTCTTTCTTTCTTTCTTTCTTTCTTTCTTTCTTTCTTATTACTACTGCACTACTACTACGACTACGACTACTTATTTTTTACTATCATCATCACCATTATCGTTTATTAAGAAAATGTATATGGCCACCCAGATCACTCACTGTGACTCCTGGAGGCTTATGAAAATAAAGCCCCCACCCAAATTTCAGATTCAGACCATTTACAAAATGCTGTTGGACTGGATGCCCTTCAGGGCCCCATCTGGGGGACAGGCGGAATGCAATTTTTATTATTATTTATTAAGAATATTTATGCCCCCCCCCCCCAAATCATTCATGGTGATCTGTTGCAAAATAATACCCCAATGCCAACCCCAGTAATATCTGAGATGGAGATCATTTGCCTTCCAAATGTGAGGTTTCTGAGTTTGAAAGTGGCTGTTTTTGATCAGGTTGTTTTTGAGGTTGAAATGGGCTTTTGAACTCTTCTTGAAAACCAAACCAAACCAAACCAGAGCCTTAGAGAGTTGGCCTCAGAGTTAAGGAAGCTGCTTTGCGTCCAGGTGTAAAGTGGGGTGTATTGAATAGAATAGAATAGAATAAGAATAAGAATAAGAATAAGAATAAGAATTCTTTATTGGCCAAGTGTGATTGGACACACAAGGAAATTGTCTTGGTGCAAATGCTCTCAGTGTCCATAAAAGAAAAGAGACATTCGTCAAGAGTCGAGAATCATAAGGTCCAACAATAATAGTCATAGGGTACAATAAGCAATCAAATCATACTAGGAAACAGTCAATATAGTTTGTAAGGATACAAGGGACAAAGTTACAGTCATACAGTCAAAAGTGGGAGTGGATGGGTGATAAGGAGTGATGAGAAGATTAACAGTAATAGTAGTGCAGACTTTGTAATAGTTGGACAGTGTTGAGGGAATTAGTTGTTTAGCGGAGTGATGGCGTTGAGGAAAAAACTCCCCTTGTGTCTAGTTGTTCTGGTGTGCAGGGCTCTATAGCATCGAGATGGTGAAACAGTTTATGTCTGGGATGTGAGGGGTCTGTAGATCTTAAGTTTGGGGTGCTTGGGCGGGGTGGGGGTTGGACCAGATGACCTACAAGGTCCCTTCCAATTCTGTTATTCTGTTATTGTTCTGCTTTGCACCCCTGGGTTTAGTTTTCCTCCCTCTTTTTAAGTCTGCCCCTCTGCTTCCTGTGTGGGTAATCCTGGTGTGTGTGTGTGTGTGTGTGTCTTGGTGCAGGAGTTCCGGCTGGGGATTGGCATCACCTACATCGAGATGAATGTGGGCAACGTGAAAGACGTGGACCGAAGATGCTTTGACTTGACCACACCTTACCGGATCTTCAGGTAGGGATCTCAGACAGATCCAAGGGGATTTCGTTCTGGTTAATGGCAGGGACTTGAGGGATCCGCCAAAGATTTACTTAACAACCAGCGTATTCATTTAAATCCTGAGTCTCGAGCCAAACTTCCAAAACTTCAAAAGGATTTATTGGGAGTTAACATGCCGGCACGACCTGGGTGCAGCCGACTCTGAGACACATCATTCACTGTCACCCTTGACCCTGGTTTTCCCTCCACCCCCTGGGTGTATCGTAATTCATATCCTCCAATGGGACACATCCATAGCCCAGAGTCGTCCATCATGCTCTCCAGTTAGAATTTTGCTTGGTAGGAACTTCAGTCACCTAGTTACTATCTTTAAAAACATTTATGGAATGCACTGTTCCCCCACCCCTCTGGATATATTCAGAACACATTAAGGGCTGGGTGTCATCAATCACATTCTCCAATAGAGGATTTTCGAGCCCAGAATTCCCGGTAGGCTCAGTTACAATTGCTGTAAAATAAGCTTGGAACGTTCATTTGCCGTCTGCTCCTTAAGGGCTTTCCCTCTTTGGTATGGCAACTTGGAAACCTGCATAGAAATGTTTTACAAGTTAAACATGATAAATATAGGTCAAAAGAGGAAATAAAATTGGTATATTGGCATATAGGTAGGATCAATGAGAAGTCGTTGAAACTGCCAGAAAATGGAGATTTATATAAATATTCATATTTAATTTATAATATTTATGTAGTTATACTTACATTGTATATCTAAAAATGTATACCTTATCTGTGCATATGGCTATGGAATATAGAACACAGCACATAGACTATAATTATATAGATTTATCTCTGATCTTTATATATATATATAAAGATCAGAGACGGACACAATACAGAAGCCTGATGATGGCAGATGAGATTCTGCCGAAACGTTGCTACAACTTTAAAAGCACAACTACAATGACGTGGGAAAATACCCGAACAAAGCTGAATACCATACATATAAATACCCGCGAAAACTTAAGA